TATAAAATTAAACTTAAATAGATTATGACAGTTAACTAAAGAGTTTTTATATGTAATATTAATAAAATAAAAATAATAGAAATATTAAAATATCAGCCGAACGTAAATTTCACTATATAAAATATAACCAGTATTGTTAAGGGAATGTGCACATGCTATATACCTTCTAGAAATCTGACTCAGGATAGGTTACAAGGTTATGCATTATAAAAGAACTGATTATTAAATTTTGAAGTTTAGCAATGGCAAAATGTGCTTGCAATTAATGGTTAGTTAATGTCTTTGATTTAACAACTCATCGCTATTTAAAAATGTGCTTATCTGTATTCTCCTGTAAACACAAGCAACAAGGTTCATATAAGAATCTACAGTTTCTAGCTAGTTTTAAAATTTTCCATTCAACTTTAGGGGCTTTATTTCTTTTAAATTACAAAAATATTTTGGAAGCGAAGTTCTATGTTGATAAGTAGCATTAGTAAAAGAGGAGAGGTGGGTATACTAACGATCTTTGAAAGATTGTGCTGACAATATAAAATTTTTCGATCCTCGGATTTTCTATTGAAATAGAAAACCTATACACAAGGGGTTTAGTCAAGCATTTGTTAGACAATGGGCATTGGTTAGGATTCCTACAATTACAATGGTTGCTATCCTTAACTAAATTAGAATTAGTACTAGCATCATGGTTATTATTGTTAAATTGGTTGTCTTTTATTGTTGTGCAACTTTATTATTTTCTCCAGATTCTTAGTACAACTATTGCTAAGTTTTAATAAATTTCTAATAAAAATTTTACGATAGGGATTGGCTTTCGGAAAATGTTTGTCTATTAAATTTAGAAACTTATATTTAGCTTTTGTACTAACTAATAGGTTAAATGAAGGTGTGCCAATTTTGTTTATATATATATATATATATATATATATATATATATATATATATATATATATATATATATATATATAAGACCAGAGTGAAATATGTAAAATAAAACCATCACATTTGCCTTGATAACGTCCGTTGAATGACGAAACGCGTCGGCTAAACTAAATTTTCTCTTGTCTTTTTTATATATATATATATATATATATATATATATATATATATATATATATATATACACTAAACTAAGTATAGTTTACCTTCGTCTGTCCATTCATTTTTTTTCTGTCTTACAGACACTCCATCTGAGAATATTTTACAAACACAATATATATATATATATATATATATATATATATATATATATATATATATATATATATATATATATATATATATAACGTGTGTGCTCTGTGTGTGTGTGTGTAAATATTTTCAGATGGAGTATGTAGAAGAGAGAAAAACGAATGAAAAGACAAAAGGTAAACTATACTTAGTTTAATATATATATATATATATATATATATATATATATATATATATATATATATTAGTATATATATATGTATAATTTTGGCTGTATTGTTTTCTGACTAATTATCTGACGATAATTACAGATACATATTTCTGTATCTTTGTTCATATGTATATATCTATAAACGTATAAGTATTTACATCAACAATATTCACTGTAAAATTAGCAAGCTTTTTGTTTCATTTTTGCCACCGAAGTGTCAAAGAAAGATACTTTTTTATTTTCAGTATTAAACATTATTCTTGATAATTATTTTAAGGAAGGATATGAGCTTTCATATACTAATTTATACACTGTGGAAAGGAACGAAAAACTATTTTATCTTGTGTCACAAAATTTTTCAACGTAGCTAGCCTTATCTGTCTATATCACTGAGATGGGGTTTTATGGTTACTTGTATTATTTACATTATTCAGACTATTACCCCCATCTTCATTGCCATATTCACAACATTTCGGTTGTTGTACACTCCGGCCTTCTTCAGGTGATTGGAATTTCGGACCGAACTCTTTATTTCATCCACCGCGGTAGATTGTTCTAGTTCCACGTTCCATGCCTCTTCCGGACATCTCAGTTATTTTCCTTTAACTCAGTTTCATTTCACCACTGCTGTGGCCTTGTATTGAACTCACAGCCCTTTGGGTCGAGTCAATGGATCTAACCAACATCTTTATCCACTGGGCCATGTGTTCTCAAGAACAAAACTTGGAGAATTGAATTAAAGGGAAATAACTGGGACATCCAGAAGAGGCATGGCACTTTGCATATCGCGTGTATTGGCATTGTTAGTTAAATTCCAATATGTAAAGGAGCCCAATTGTATAATGGAAACTCAAGTGGGCAAGCAAGATGGAAAGAGAGAGAAAGTAGAAAATGAAATTGCGAAAAGAATCGGAAGAAATATATGAAACAGACAATATCGAAAAGAAAGAAATGAAGAAAATAAAAAGTTTATGGAAGATAGAAGAAAAAAAAATGGAAATTTTGTTGAGAAAGAAAAATGCAAAAAGAAATTGAAATGTTTTTATGGAAGGGAAAAAAGAAAGACTAGAAGAAAGAAAGAGAGAAAGAAAGTGTGAAAAAATAAAGAAAAGAAAATAAGAATATGCAATTGGAGTAAAAGACTTACAGAAATAGAAGAACAGAAATACTATCTGATAAACGTAATAATCTCCACCCCATATATATTATAATTATTAAAAAAAAATATGATTCCTTCGCTACATAAGAGTTTTCATGTTTCAAAAACGAGCCCTGTTTCATCCTCAATCGAATATTTTTCGCCTGAGGATGAAATTTAATTTTAATAATTATATTGAGGGTTTCGGCTCTCGTTTTTGAAACATGAAAACTCTTATGTAGCGAAGGAATCATATTTTTAAAAAAATAATTATAATTTAAGCTCTACTTCTGTATGGAGCACTGTTTTTAAAAATAAAAACAAAAATACTAAAAACTCCGGATGATTTACTTAACGTGTTTTTTCGCTATTTTTCTAAATATCTGCATATATATATATATATATATATATATATATATATATATATATATATATATATATATATATATTTATGTTATGTTTTTTTATAGATACAATTCATTTAAGTAAATGGTAAGATTTTAATTAAACAGTATTAATTATATTTACGGGCCTGAATGTTCGAGAAATTTCGTAGAAAATATCCTGAATGGTACAGCACATCACGTCAAATGACGGTTTCCGTATAGGAATTCAGGTTCTGTTCCTGTCGGAAACCGCATATTTTCTACGAAATTTGTCGAACATTCAGGACTGTAAATGTAATTAATACTGTTTAACTGAGGATTTATTTTAATCAATTGTACATATAAAAATAACGTATAAACAGAAAATATATTAAATTATTGACGGACTAAATCCATTTCATTATATATATATATATATATATATATATATATATATATATATATATATATATATATATATATATATATGCTGGGTATGGTGGGAAAATTGTCGCCATTTTATATTTTTAATTTTGCGCGTGCGCATTGTATGTTTTTAATTTTATCGACTGCTGACTATAGTACGGTTAGTTGGGCACCATCTGTGAGAAAAAGAACACCATGATGCAATTCCTTCTACCAGAAGTTTGGAAACAGCATGCTATACTGCTTGGCATTCGCGTCGGACGCTGCAATACGAATATTTCATAGTCTTTGGGACAACTGAGGACAGTGCAAACTATTCGAAAAAAATTGTATAAGTCTAATGATGCTTATAAAGTTAGAGCAACTCGGAAAACTCACTTCGATAGTTCTGATAAGAAAAAGAACTTTCTAATTTGTTGGTGAGGGCATCAGACTCAACACAAAAGACTACATCAAGTACCTTGAGGTTGTAGTGCTGCTCTGGGTCAAAAGGGTGGCTGCTGGAAGACCCTATGTCTGGTAACAGGATTCTGCGCCATGCCACACACGCAGGAAAACCCAATCATGGCTGTCAGACAATTTCCAGGTCCACATCACCTCTTATATCTGGCCACCTAACTTCCCAGACTGCAACCCCCTTGATTATTATGTGTGGGCCACAGTTGAGAGGGAAACCAACAAAACTCCTTGGTACACCAAAGATGAATTGAAGGCAAGATTTATGGCAGCATTCACCAACTTAAACAAGACCATCCGGAAGAGTTGCCGGAGATACCGAAGTCGTCGTGATTGAAGCCAATGGCGATTTTATTGAATACATTTACTTTGTAGTATTTCAAGATATTTTTGCATAATTTTGGTAAATATATCTGTTAAAATGAGATATCAATCTTGTTTTTTTTTGCGTAATTAAGCCGGCGATTTTTCCATCGCACCCTATATATATATATATATATATATATATATATATATATATATATATATATATATATATATATGACAAAATAAATGAAGAGGGAATGTATGACAATCATTGGGCGTCCCACCTTTTTGAACGCTGATCCTAGTTTATGTCTCGCCAACCGACATCATTGACTTGAACTTCAACTGATACATGGTATCTCTCTTTATTTGTTGTTTGTATTGTCACTGTTCGTCGACCAATTGTATGGGAGCTTCACTTCGTAGCCTTTCATTTCGGAGACGATACTTCTTCCTCCCCATACACAGTCTTATCATGAATAGATTAAAGTCTTGGGCGTGTCTTGAAAAGTTTGTATGCGCCCAGCGGTGAAAACCTGGCAGTGAATGAACAATAAAGTTAACAGTCCTCGAAAGACTTTGATCATTTGGAAGCTGAATACGCTAGATTAAGTTATATAGCAGCTTTGTGAGATAGAGACCGATGGACTATTGCTGCTTTAGTGGGGTAGTTGGGGAAACGGCGGAGCTATAGAACTAAAAGGAGGAAAAAAGAGAAAGAAAACGTTTATGGTTCTTTTCTATAAGAGTGAAAGAAATTGTGAGACTGTAAAACAGAAAGAGTACATGTGAATTGAAAACAGAATAAGGTCATGAAAAGTGTGTGCATCTGTCAGAAAAAAAGGATGGGAAAGAGAAAGATTATGTGTCGGTGCGTGTTTATGAGTAAAAGAAAGAAAGTACATCTTACTCAGTGAATGATGTAAGAAAGTATGAATATTTCAGAGAAAAGAGGCTCAAAGTAAAGAGGGTAATGGATCAAGTGAGAAAAATTTGTGAGAGAGAGAGAGAGAGAGAGAGAGAGAGAGAGAGGAGCCAACTTGTCCTATAGAATGACGAGGTGGTGACCCTTCTTTCACTCAGCTTGGACATCAAAGCCAATAAGCTATGGTCTGGAGAAGAAGCGCATCCTTCGAAGCGATTTGGTAATTTGCTGGAACGGTGGTTATTTAGTGTCCTTGAACAAGATTCCATCGTAACGTACAACTACCGGGTTGGGGGTGTAAGTAAGTCGAAGAACCCCCACAACAGGAGCATTTGCCCTGTTTGATGCAAAAAGATTCTCGGAGCGACCAGTGAGGCGAATATAAAGACGCTTTTTAATCCGCTGGCTCGGAATGAAGCGAATGAAGAAAGAGTACCATTTTTGCAGACAAACTGGCGCCGTGGAGAAGCACTGTATTTCTTCGGCCAAACTCGGGCAGATAAAAACCACGAAGTAAAATCAGAATCCGTAAAAAGAACACAAAAGATATGAAAGAGAGCAAGATGCAGGGGGAAAAAGAAGAGAGGGGAAAACCCGAATAAGGAATTTGGACATTTATTTTTCCTGGTTTTGGCACAATTACAAAAAGAATTATTTTTTATGCTCGGTATTTTGTGTATTTTCTTTCTTTGATAATTGTAGACATTGTCTTAATGAGTGATATTCATAAACCCTAAAACCTTCTGGCATATTATATTTGTTTCTGTGCTTCTATGGTGTTTGCAATTTAAGATGATGAAAAAAAAATGTCAGTTTAGCAATATTGTCCATCGGTTGCGTGAATAAAAATGATTTACTGCATTAACGATAGTATTTTCTACATTTATCTCGTTTCATGAACTTTCATCCTTGCATCATTTTGAATTTTTCAATACATTACACATAAGAAGAATAGTTGCCGCCTGATTATCGAAATATTTTTGTAAAACGAGATGTAAGTTTGTATTAGCATAATATTGGATACACTTAAAGGCTTAACTCGTGCACTTCAACGTGATGTTAACAAGCTTGTCTTGCTAGATTAATTACGACTGAATAGTACGTTCGATCCTCACTAGCTCACCCATACGTTCGACCTTGTGCCAAATCTAAGCTACGCTTAGAAACATCATTTCGACACCTCGACGTGGTTTTATGGTTCGCAAGCTTGTCTCGTGGAAACAATTACGACTGATTAGTGAGTTCGATCCTCAGGGGTTACCCCATACTTTTAGCCTAGTGCCGCATCTAAGCTACGCTTGGAAAATCACCTTAAAGGCTTAACTCAGGAGTGGTGCGTAAACCATGGGCCGCATGCTGATGATTTTATTCAGCCTTCAAGAGCACAACATGCATTATTTTTCAAAATATCCATTTATATATTTTAGTATTTTTTGGTTATATGTTACACAAAATATTAGGTTGGGGCAAAAATAATGACGTAATAATGTCGTTTTTTGACGTATTTTTAAGGTCAAAAACGACATTATTACGTCATTATTTTTGCACCAACCTAATAGTAATCTATTCAAAGCAGGATTTAAAAAAAAAAAAGCAAAAGTGCAGACCATATATATTTAATAGCGAAAACAACTTCTCAGGAAATTCACGTCTTATAAAACGCAACATATCGCATTCAGGACTACCACAGGGCATCTGTTTTGCTCCATACCACACTATACCGATGTCAATGCCCAATTATAGGCACAGTGTAAACTGGTCTAAGGATCTAGGTACCTGTGTGTACATAGGATATCATTACTGCACTTTGCTATAAACGTCCCACGAGAATCAGAGAGAATTTGTTCTTATTGTAAGATATTTTTCTTAGCTGTACAAATTAATAGTATCATATGGAATAAATATTAAAGTAATTTCTCAGACATTTCTGCAGTCTGTTCACAAAATGTAAGAAGCAAATGAATGCACAAATAACACGCGCATATATGATTGTTATTTTACTTACAGCTCACTTTACACAAGTCCAAAAATGCAATGAAAAAACTTTGGTCAACACTGGCTTAACTTATGCTCACACTTATGAACCTATCTCTCTCTCTCTCTCTCTCTCTATATATATATATATATATATATATTATATATATATATATATATATATATATATATATATATATATATATGTATGTATGTATATATATATATATATATATATATAATACCAAATACGTAGGTGGTAGGGATTATTTCAATTAGGTCTTTTAATATAAAAATATTAAAAAAGTTCTCCATGATGAGAGCTCAGTGTATAAATTTATATTGAAAACAATATAAATAATAAATAAATAATAAGTAAAAGTCTTAATTAGCCATATAATCGGTTATAATTTAATTTCAACAATCATATATATATATATATATATATATATATATATATATATATATATATATATAATTCATCGAGACGAGATTAATCCTCAACAGAATGCAAAAAAGCACTATGCGGCCGTTTTGTCTTATTTGGGAGTCATCTACATCACCCGACCGAGAATCGAACCCGGACCGTTTTGATACAACGTAAGCGTCATTCCAACTCTACACGGGCCTCTTGGGGCGCTGTTCCGTGGGTATTCCCATACTTGGAGGAGGAGTATCACTACGGAATTGAGTGAGTAGCCGCGCTATATCGAGTCTAATCAGTTTCTTCTTCGCTACCGACTTGGTATGACGTTTGCTTTGTATCGAAACGGTCCGAGTTTGATTGTCGGTAGTGCATTTGCACTGCTGGGGAGTCCGAATTAGGACGAAACGGCCGTCCAGTGCTTTCTGCATTCTGTTGAGGATTATTCTAGTCTTGATGAATTACTATATATAATTATTCTAAAATCCCCCAAATTTCTTCACACACACACACACACACACACACACACACACACACGTATATATATATATATATATATATATATATATATATATATATATATATATATATATATATATATATATATATATATATATATATATATATATATCTGCCTCATCAGACCGACTCCATTTTATTAAATGATATAAATTCTGCCAGACAATTTGATAAAAAAGCAGACAAAAAATAATGAAGTAACGATTTTAACTTGACTTTAAAAATTTATTTGGGAGGCTTAAACTATTGAAAAGAGCGAAAAAATTAGAAAAAAAGAATTTGTTTTTAGGAGTAAGGGAAGGTAGGGGCAGTTTTTATGGTAGACCTTTAAGCACACAACCAGTAATAAAAATCACGGAAATGCGATGTATGTTGCCACACATTTAAACATCATCATCACTTTTATCATAATAATAATAATATAAAAATATAATATTTAAAAAAGGTGAAAAAATAAACAATAAGAGTAATAAAAATGATAAAAAATTACCTATAGTGTAATCACATTCATATCATCCACATAAATGTTTAAACACATCTATGAACACACACACACACACACACACATCTATATATATATATATATATATATAAAGGGAGAAAAAGATTTTAACATTTTTATTATAATGTGGATTTTTTATATACTTTATTCTATATGTTTTGCTACACACGTTTCGGGTCTTGTGACCTTCATTAGGCGAAGAATGGTTATTTCCACATATTATTTAAAGGAATTAATTTTTTTCTTTCTATGTTAAATCTTTTAACCATTGTCTTTTTGTGTGTAGTAGTAGTCATCTGAATCCACATTCGGATAGCCGAAAAATATATATACACTAACCTATATATTTTTATCTTCGTTACGTGATGCATTCAAATACAGTAAACATTTCTAGGGCGTTTTAAAACATACGGAGAGAGAGAGAGAGAGAGAGAGAGAGAGAGATAGATGCTGAACTCGCAGACTGTTGCCAGTGTAATTATTTTGATCTTAATTATGCATCCATTATTATGCATAGTATATACATAATCGAGTGTGCTGAAAATTTCTCACCCCAACGCAAATTTCTAAATCTAAATTTTTTTTTTAAGTTCTTCTTGGTTAAGCTGGAAAAAATTATTTATGTTTTTATTCTTGCGAATTTTTGATAAAGGTAAATCAGAACCGTTTTCTTAATTGCTTGTAGGCAATAATTCTAATAGAAACAATTCTTGGACGAAATGAAGAATTATCAGCATCTTTTAAAAATAATTGATGCAAATTGAAGTGAAATCCTACGACTTTATGCGTGTTAGATATTTAGAAACCCAACGAAGGTCAGATATTTCTGCTAGTTTCGCTGTCATTGACTTGGATTTTCAACGACTCAAAATAAGCACCAAAGACCAAGGTTTATATAAAAATAATATTTACTGACTAATTACCATTAAGCTTATCAACCACTCTTGCTTATAAAGAGATGGTTGGTTGGATTTAATTTAAAAAGATTCTAGCACCTTCAAATGAAATTCTGAATTCGGCTTCCTCTAAACTGAGAATATTTCATGGTTGTATAACCGCGTATATTACTCGTTTTGTATAAACGGGCATATTACTGGTTTTGTAGCAAATCTTCAGCTATTGCCGAACAAGTTGTAGTCACACACCTATACAAATTGTCCACTTTGCCAGAGCACATTTTTCGGCCCCGGTGAGAAAGGATATCGGCTCGGATTGAGGAATCGGAGAGCTGAGTTCGAATTCCAGTCGAATCCATTACATTCACTTACATGCTAATACCCTTGGAAAGGCATGAATCATCTTCTTCCTTCTAGCTATAGGTAAATAGAAGGACAGACCTAGTTCTATAGCCTTAGACGGCAACTGTTCTACCGCATAAATAAATGGTAACATACTGCGGAAAAAAATATGCCTCGTCAGTCATGTATCGAAAGATACATGATCGCCTAAGCGTGTATCATGTATTGGTTTTGTTGTGTTTTTGTTAATCGTGTTGTTAATTTTTATTCTTGCTTTATCGTGTCACTTTTTATCGTTTTAATAACTCAAATTTATTTCATTAGCTATCATCTGGTTTGAGGATGACACAAATTAGTTAATTTTTTCCAACTGAGTTTCACCAATTCAAACGTTCTTAGCTTGGACCCGCCACATATATTTGAAACAAATCATCCCTATTCTCTTCGTAATATTCCATTGGTAAGAAGGAAATTCCATTCACACAGTTTCTTCCTAAGAACCGCTAATTTGTCCGACAGACTCCTGAGAGCTTACTTCCTCGATTGCTACAATCTTAGTTTCTTCAAGTCAGAGTCAACCGTTACCTTTCCTACAAATCCTCATCATTTGCATTTACATTCATACAATTTTCTGCTTTGACTGTTGGGTGAACAAGTGGTATCTATAAAAATGGCAAGTATTACTGGCAAAATTGGACTACTGTAGATATAATAGGTTGTTCAGTCGAACATTTCCAAAGCTCTTTGTGTATATCTGTATTGCGTGTTCACGTCATTTTCACTTGATCCTTCTCCTAAAATAAAGCAACACAAAAAATATATTTTCTTCGTTTTATAGAAATAAATGCAAGATATATTTCAACAGTGAAATTTTTATTCTTATTTACAAAAATGCATTTTCTGTTACAATTTTTTTATTATTATTATTCTCACCATTCCGGAAATAGTATATTATCTCCCTTGCATAACACCAAAAAGATTTAAATATTCAAACGACGAATGACGCCATTTTTCCTTCATTCGTGTCACACACAATTTGGTCGACCTATTGTGTAGATGATATGCAGCTAAATGAAAACGATTAACGACAAGAATCCAAAAAGATTCCTCTTGGAGTTTTGGTTGATAAATGACTGTGAGTAATACTTTTTATTTTTCTGTCCTGTACTATTTATGAGGTGGACTAATTTACAGTATATACCCGCGTATCATGCGACCTTTTAAGACCTAATTTTGAAGCTAATTTGACTACAGCAATAGAGACGCTAATTTTCTATCTCATGTATGATGTGACCTCCTTAAAATTTGCTTCAAAATCCCCATGATACGCGAATATATATTATACTCACTTTTGTTGCTTTATATTTATTGCGAAGATGAAAATATATTTCTTAGATATCTTTCTTTTTTAACTTCGTCTACTTTAGTCACATTTAAAACTACTACATCCCGAGAGTTAAGATAACTCAAAATCTTATTAAATACCCCTATTTTAGCCGGCTAAACTTTAAGCAACATCAATGTAAAATAGGATACTTCTCAATATCCAGGCTTTATTTATTATAATTCATTTTCTAGTTCAATCGATGGCATTGTCGAGTGCTATGTTCTTTCTGTTCATTGCAATTCTCATTTACTTGGTGGTACAAGTAATGTACAACGGATTGTATAGAATGCCTCCATTCCTATCGCTCCTCACAGCTTCGTATTCAGAGTAGATTTTCTTGACTTGCTGTTAGCTAATTCTCAGGAGATCCGTCTACCCTGCTATTTAACCAAGAAATAATGTAGGGAGGAATGGTTTCATGACTTTCTCAAGATCATAATTGCAGAAGAAAGCGTAACTATTTCGGTTTGTCGATCCTTTGTTACGCTATTCTGAATACCTGAAACAAGAGCAATCTGGTGTTGATTTTCCAAATTGTCAAGGCTTGCTGAAATGTACTGAATATCAGCATTTATAATGGTAGCTTTGTATTTGGTCTCAGCAGGAGTCTTTTATTCTTTTTTTGATACGATGATGGCAAACTGGGCACCGCAAAATAAAAAGTACTTCTGGCTGATAGTGGTGGTAAGAAATTTTAAACATTCCTCATCCTATAGTTATCTAATCCTCTCATATTTTTTCTGCTGCATAAACTATCCTATATATATATATATATATATATATATATATATATATATTCTTTTAAATACGCAGTTTTCTTTGTTTTACTTGTACATTTTCTTTCTGGAATGAGACCAATAGTTTTTTTTGTTTTCCATATGAAATTTTCAGAAGATTGTTCTTTTTTGTGGTGGTAGGGATTGTAAAAAAAAATGGAAACTCTGGTTCAATGTTTGATTTTGCAAAAATAATCGCAGTAATGAGATTTTAAAAAAATTATGTAGCTCAGCTTATTAGTATTGTTTGGGAGGACCAATTTTGTTTTCTGTTTAATTCTTGTTTCCAGTATCAAATGTGTCTATACACATCTTGATACTCCGTAGATGTTAAAGTTCATTAAAGAATGAATTGTATACTTGATCATTTTATTAGAAAACTCCATGGAAATAGTTTTAGGGGTCTGTTTCAACCACCCTGTTCGATATTCCGCTTGTACTTTTTAATTTGTTGGTTGGAGGTGTTGGTTTGGTTTTCGTAAATTTGTTTTTGAAGTTATCTAAAGAAAAACCACAATCTTATTTCAATAAAAACTTAATACAGTATCACTTGTAACCTTAGTAAAAATAATTAAAAACTCAAATACATTTCTGAGAGTGCTTGCATAATTTAATAAAATATATTCCCTTTCAATCTGGACAGGAAAAAATCTGCATATAACTAAAAACATTTTTTAGTGTTTTTGAAATTAAAGTTTTTATTAAATAGGTTTGAAAAATATTTCACTTATCAAATATTAGATATTTTTGTATGAATGCTCAATGAAATCATTTTGAATTACCGCCATTGTTTGAATACTTTCCCTATCAGAAGATTAATGATATATAATTCCGTAACTCCTAAATTTAGAATAATTAAAACAAATTCCATTGGACGAAATTAAATATTTCATGAAATCAAATGGGCAAGAAAATAATTTTAAAAAGAAAAAGAAGCAATTTAATGTACTCAAAAGTATTTAAGTAAAGAAAAGGTTACTTCAAATAAAGTATAAAAGTAAAATTAATTTCCTTTAAGTTTCATAAAAGCGTATAGAATAAAAAAAAAACTTTAACTATTGGTTATATAAAGTTTAAAATAATTTTTAAACATAAATACCAATATCTTGATTATTGCACTGCTGATACTTCAAATATAATTTTTAAACATAAATACCAATATCTTGATTAACTGCTGATAAAATATAATTTTAAACATAAATACCAATATCTTGATTATTGCACTGCTGATACTTCAAATATAATTTTTAAACATAAATACCAATATCTTGATTATACTGCTGAACTTCAAATATAATTTTTAAACATAAATACCAATATCTTGATTATTGTTATACTTCAAATATAATTTTTAAACATAAATACCAATATCTTGATTATTGCACTGCTGATACTTCAAATATAATTTTTAAACATAAATACCAATATCTTGATTATTGCACTGCTGATACTTCAAATATAATTTTTTCGCTCGGAATTACAGTATAAAATTATCGTTGTTGACATAACATTGCGGGCTACCGTGCATAAATAAATGTTCATTGTTTTAAGTAACAATTAAAGATTACGTTTACAAAATTCAATTAATTCATCCTTAAATTTACTAATCGACTTGGGCACGAATCTCTCCAAAAATTTGTTTTCACCAATGGTGGTTAGAGTAATCTATGAGGGACGAGTAAAAGTGATGTTTTTAAAATACCTAAAAATATTTGTATATAGAAATTAATTCTTATTTTAATAAGAATTAGCTTAAGGCTATTGTCAAATAAACCAAAATTTCAGAGAAAATTCGGAGCTTTTTTTTTTTTAAATGTTAGCAAAACCATATGTTAGCGTCAGATTTTATTTCGTCTACGTGACTAAATATTTGTTATTCTTTGTCAGTATTTCCAAGGTGAAAATAGATAGTGTTTTGTTTGCAAAAGGACTTGTTCTCATTGAAATAAAATTAAATATATAAGTTGTTCCTGTTAGAAATATTTTTATTTGATACCGACGATAAAATATTTTTACCTGTTAAGTGTTATTTTTTTTAATGCAATGTTCATTTCAGTCAGGACACTTCACAACTTTTCTTTAATATTGCAAATTGCTGTGGCTTCCTGTTGCCT